AGCTTTTCTTCGCTCAAAATAAATTTCTCCTCAAAATGCAACACTTGCACCTGCAACGTTTTTCACGTGCGCTCAGAATAGCGGCACAAAAATAACGGCATACATTAAACCCTCACTGAAGAGGTTTTCTAGCACATCATCACCTGTCCTAACTAACAGCAGGGCAGGATGTGGAGAGTGCAGATGACGACGTGCCCTTCATGTCGTCATGTTGTCAGGTGACCCACAAAAACAGGTCGTTGTGTTGTTACAGTGCTAATAGATGAAGGGGGGGGATGATACTGACTTCACTTTTATCTGATAAACACATAGATCACTATACAATACAGTGCATTATGTACTGTACCCTCTGCTAACAGAATGCTGGGACATTGTGAAGCTTCACTAAGATGAGGCACACACTCACAATGTCTGATAGGAAGTTTTGGTTTTGTTATGCTTTTATTTTGAAGTCCACTAACCACTGTCTCTTTTTAAGGTCAACTTCCTGAAGGCCAGATGGAGTGCACACATGATTACGGACTAATGATGTTCACCTGATGGGAATTCCCTGATTACCCACTGTCAGTGGGGCGAACCATGACAGCTGGAGGGAGGGGTTGACATGGTGTCAACATGAGTGCAGTGTGTAGCCCCCAGCTCCTCTTCCAGATACACTGCAAGTACACAGCATGCAGTATTTTAGTGAACGAGTGAGTATACCAGCTGTACTATGGAGGAACAGCTAGCTGTGCTAATGCTAATGCTAATGCTAACGACAAACCTCGTGTGTGTTGTTTTTCATAGACATAAAGCTGGTGTATGACTCGTACCATTACGTTCAGATGAGCTACACCAGTACAAAGACACAGATATAGTTTTTTTTATTCAAAGCATATTTTGCTGATGAGTACTTATCCAGCCCCACTGTCTACACACACCTGTACATGTAACCAGCAGATTTAGCTGGTTGCCAGGACTAAACTGATCCAGCACGGAGAAGCACAGCCAGAGAGTATGAATATGTTAATATGGTTCCAGTTCTGACTGATACTGTTAGTGACGATTAGTAAAGACACACACAGCCCTCTGGATTTAATCACAGCTTGTGTAATCTTGTAGTTGTATTAAGTAACAAGGGAACATGTGGCTCCATAGTTGAGTGGTTTCAGCTGGAGATACAAATCCACTTTTGGAGTGCGTCAGAGCACGTGGTGTAAAATCTGCCCAATGAAAACACGTGGAGCTACCTGTTGTGACAGGACGAGGTCAAAGGCAGGTCATTTGTCACACAGGCCCTCTGGGCCCCTGAGAAGCCTGTAACTTGTGATGTACACACAACAAGAACCTACAGCAGTAAACTGAAAGCAGACGCACGTTTCTCTGCAGTTGAGAGCACGGTTTGTGTGTGACGCATGTCTTTGAGCATTGTTCTTGTCCTGATCACACAGTGACAATTTGTTCTGATCTGGTCCCTTTGGCCATGAAAGGAGGGGGTGGAGAGCGAGCGAGGGGGGATGGGCGGCGGTTAGCATGAGACCAAATATTTGCAGTGAAAGGCCCGTCATTGTCCATTAGACTTTCTCTCCTTTCTCCTCTCTGGCTGCATTAACCTCTTCTTCAACAATGCTCCCGAACAAAGGAAGGACTGTATGTGTTTATGTGTGAGTTTGTGTGTGTGCGTTTGCTTTTCTGCCACGCCCACACACTGTCCATCCGCTGCATCCCACAGCACGCACGCACACACATACACTAGTCTGTCTGCCACAGATGATCAGAAAAATATTGACTGTTGTTGTTGTGTGCACATCAGTCATC